AACTGCAAATATTACCAATATTTTAGTAGCAACATACACCATGTTGGTATACGAATCGGCAACTGAGATAATCATCTGTGAAGGTTAGGCTTTGTCTGTTGATTTTGTGCTGTCGTTTCGTATTTCTAGCTGGAAATTCGAATCCCATTATATGGTTGCCACACAGCAAAGTGTGCATCTAAAAGGTTAAACGCCAAAATAATAAAGCAATAGGTAACAAGCATTAAGCAACTAAATCGCAAAGTGAAAGGTACTAAAAATTAAGCTGTATTTTTTAACTACTTATTTATTTTTAATTCTTGCATTGTCTATTGGAACTGCCTTATGGGAATCCCCAGTGTAGATAATGATCCTTGATATTCAGATACTTAACCTGATAGCCATGAATAAGTCATATTGACATATGTAGTGAGCCTTATTTTGTTGTTTCGAACCGAGTCATGTAACTGCCCAGGTACATTTCCTTCGAAATTGTTCTACCATAAGGTAGCAAAAAGCAGAAGCTAGTATAAGATAATACCTGGACCAGTCCTGCTCTTGTATAGAAGACATTGTAATCCAAACAACAACACTAGAATGTAGTTGTAGGTTTTACAATTGTTTCACACCTAGATCTCACTCGAATGACCGTATTTTTTGTTATCAGTCTAAATTTCATTTTCATTTTCTCAAAGTACATATGTTCAAGGTTTAGTATTCCCATTTTCTCAAAAAGTTTGTATCTGTTTTTCTCACAGAATGTAATTTTAACGTTTTTTCAAGATTCTTAACTTTTAGTTTAAGAATTTTATTCAACATAGTATGGACTCAGTTGAAAATTCTTTCCCAGTGAAAGTGCATTGTTGTGCTGTGTTTTAAAACATATTGGTTTTCACAAATCTTCTGAAACTGTTTTTTGAAATTCAACATTACCATTTCCCCTTCATTTGCTCCTTATGTGACTTTTGTATAACTTTTAAGCTTAGCAGAAGATCAACGCTGATCTTCTTATTGTTGCAGGCGTTGTATTTGCAGTTTTTTTCTCTAAAATAGGTACAGTCTGTAAGAGACTCTAGCCCAATGTTCTTCAGATGTTAATACATCACTTTTTGTTTGAATTTATCATTCCTGTTCTCATGAGATTTGTGTTCATTTGTGTTAATGAAGGCCTTATCTTCTTATACGTTTTTCACACTATGTATGTGGGTAGGACTTAAAAATGTCTAGGTCCATACTCCAGATCCAACACCACACTCTAAAGCTTTATACATGTACTCGGGTAGTATGTAAAAATGTCTAGGTCCCTACTCCAGGTCTAACACAACACTCTAATACTTTATACATGTACTCAGGTGGTATGTAAAATGTCTAGGTCGGTACTCCAGATGCAACACAACACTCTAAAGCTTTATACATGTAATCAGATGGTATGTAAAAATGTCTAGGTCCGTACTCCAGATCCAACACAACACTCTAATACTTTATACATGTACTCAGGTGGTATGTAAAATGTCTAGGTCGGTACTCCAGATCCAACACAACACTCTAATACTTTATACATGTACTCAGGTGGTATGTAAAAT